GAATAAAATGTTTTTGTTTACAAGCAGATACCCTGTTCTTTTGATGTTTTGTATGTTCAGATATTCATGTAACAACATATATACAAATTAATACCTAAATAGGGACGTAGTAATGTATGATGTAAAGTTCACTTAAAGAAAACTTGCGAGTATACTTGCAGTATAAAACTACTAAACTATAGTTTACTGAGACTATACTTCAAGGTAGGGCTGCACGCATGCGATATTTAATGCGCATCTTGTCAGAAAGCCGGTTCTGTAATCAGCGGTAAATCTCCATCACCTGAGCACAGGAACAGTTTTTTCCCACATGCTATATTCAGTCTGAACAATTAATCTTTCATAATTATATATCGTCCATCACAACTAACATAGTTATACTTATATTAAACTGCACACTTTGTAAATAACATATCTGCACACTAATAAACATATCTGTACATTTATCTAAATAATTACATTTTTTCCTATACTTCTATTTCTGTATATAGTACATTATTCAATTTTTCTTTTTTATTATATTAGTGTTATATTACATCCCTACTGTGTTATTCCTATGTATGTCTGCACTATCATGTATGTCTGCACTATGTTTGTACTTTCTTCTATACTGGAAGCTCCTGTCGTCAAGTCAAATTCCTTGTGTGTGTAAACATACTTGGTAATAAAGCTCTTCTGATTCTGATTCTGATTCTGATATACTAGAAAGTGGGCCAATTTAGTCCCAAGGAGTATTGAAATAGTACACTTACAAGTATACTACTAGTACAAGGATATTTGTATACTTACTACATAAAGTATACTTAAAAATATACTTGAACTTTACTTAAGTATACTTAATAAAATAAACTTGAAGTATACTACTTTTTGGTAAGGGCTGCCGCTTGAAAACCCTCATTTTCTGCCTCCAGATAGGCTCCGCCCACAACAAACGTCATCCCTGTTTCGGATCTGTAAGACTATCCCACTCTAACGTCAATTTCGTTGAATAACAGTGCTTATCGCTGGGTGACAAGCTCTTGTAATTTGCGGAGAACATTTTGAAAATGACATCTAATCAATATAATTTATAATCTTTTTAAACCTAGCTATTTTGTACCCTATCCGTGAAATTCTCTAGCTATAAAGGCTATCTCTCCCGGGTTTTCTGCAACCATGATGCGCGCGCATCCTGAATGTTTACAAACCTATAATTGGTCTATAGGAACGTTCTTTTTAGGTTTCATTTTTAACAACCAAAAATTTATGTTTCTAGAACATTCTGCGAACCAAAAAATTGTTAGCTGGGATACTGCTCAAGCTTTGTCTGCTTGGATCGGTATTAGATAATGTATCACCAAAACAAATAGGCTAGATACTGTTATTGTTTTTCACATTTTTATTGATTCTTATGCCACAATTATATCACAACAACTGTATGAAATCAAATATATGGGTTTTAGTCCATGTGTGTTAGCTTTGAGGTCGTCTGCTACTGCATTCCTAAACATTCACTAAATTCATGTCAGTTGTATTGATGGGGTGGGATTGTGTAAAAAATGGCTTATTGTGATAGGAATGTAAAAAAAAATATTTGAGTTTTGATCAGAAAAATATCTTTAGAACTTCCTTTTAAAATTTGACCCTTTGTAAGACATTATATAATTTGAAATTTGCACACTGACTGCTGCAAGAAATAAGCTTTTTTCATTAGAGGTGTCATTTGTATGTAGTGTGCCAAAACAAGCTTTGAGAGTTTGTGTTGTCACCTCTTTACTGGTCACCATATCTATAAACAAGCTGTTTTACCTGAAAGCTCTCTTGCTTAGTCTGCTTATAATTAGTAAACCTATTTTCAGTCAGCTTCCATCTGAAAAAGGGCTTCCTTTGTTTGACTGGGAAATGTCAGTGGAACATGTAATCATGGTCAGTTTTAAATTATGTCTTTGAGTGGTACAAAAAAAAATACCTCATTGATTTTGACAACCTTAAAGATTAAGCCAGAGCTGAATGGCTCTTGAAAGCTGCACATTTCATTTTGATAGATGTACTAATGTGGATCCTGAGCTGCTATGACAACCTGGCTGAGACACTATTTTGGGAGACTGATATTCGCAGATGATTAGCTTTTACGAATGGTTCAGCGGCTGTGTCAATATTAAAGCATTTCATACATCATGCATTGACAGCACCATTGTAATAATCCAATCTAAACAGTACATGTAAACTGATCTATAGCTGATATTCGTGTCTAACACATAGTTTTCCTAAAGAGCTAACTACTGTACTGCAGCCAGCATAATTACATTATTCTGTTTTAATTGCTCTACAGCAGAGGGATGTTTTATTGCACTGTAACCAACCACCAAACCATTTGTTAAAAGGTTAAAAAGAACAAAACATTTCCAGACAGAATCTATCTATCTATCTATCTATGTACTTAATGAGACAGATGCATATTTTAGACAGCTGGCTATATCAGCACTTCCACTGTTTGTTACCCAGGACAAAAGAGGGAAAACACAACAGTCCCATAATTCCTCACGCTCAGTTGAACAGACTGGGTGGGTCTGGTTGTAAGGAACCTTTGTGACACACTGGGTCGAGGCCAGGCCAAAGACACACAAAAGAGGACAGCCATTATTCTCCCTCCCTCCCTGTCTCATGTCTACTGTCTGCTGTGTAAAGACTGGAATAATGGCTGGTGAAATTCAGCTTTGCCATCACAGAAATAAATTATATTTTAAAATATATTAAAATAGAAAACAGTTCTTTTAAATTGTAATAATATTTCACAGTATTACTGTTTTTCCTGTATTTTTGATCACATAAATTCAGCCTGGGTTCACATATAAGAGGATTCTTTCAAAACATACAAAAATCTTACGGACCCCAAACTTTTGAACTGTAGTGTATAAACAGTATATGCTTACAGTATATACTTATGTACTATGTAGTATTCAATATTTTATTGAGATGGCTTCAAAGACTTACCCCCTAAAATCTTTTCTATGATTTGAACACTAGCAACAACAGCATAAATAAAGCCTGCAAACAGTACAATAATAATCCTATACCAGCCACCAATAATAATAATAATAGATTTTATTTATAACGCACTTTATATTCAAACAGAATCCCAAAGTGCACCACATCATTTGTTCACGTCACAGTGCATGCTAGGAACTCACAAACCCAACATTGTTCAATATTTAAAGGGGTCATATGATGCGATTTCAATTTTTCCTTTCTCTTTGGAGTGTTTGCCGCAAGCCCGCTGGACACTCCTTCGTCGAATCCGCCGGCCGCGCCGTTCTCAAGCCCGCCGACCGTTCCTCACTCAAGCCCGCCCGCTGCCGCTCACTCTAGCCCACCTGCCTCCGCTCACTCAAGCCTGCTGCCGCTCACAGCGTGAGTTTTGAGCAGTGTAGATTAGCGCTTGTTGTTTGTCATTTCTCCGATCACAAATGCAGGCATGGTTTTATGTTTACGTGGCGCGATGCAATGCAACGCTTAAAAAGACAGTATAAGTCATTATAATCCGTAATTATGTCCCCACTGGATGCAACAAATGCCTCGTTTATAATGGGTTTTAATGTTTTTGTCTCGTCGCTCCGGCCGGGACACGGCATCACAGTATGGTAAGGGGCGTAACATTTCCGTCACACGCTTGAGGTATTCGGCCAATCACAACGCACTGGATAACTGACCAATCACAGCAAACCTCGCGTTTCAGAACGATGAGCTTTGTAAAAATCTACGTGTTTGAGAAAGGCGGGGCATAGAGGAGAAACAATAATGTACAGTATGTGAAAAATAATGTGTTTTTTTAACCTTAAACTGCATAAACACATTTAATTACACCAAATACAAAAAATAATGTTCTTTTTAGCAACATCATATGACCCCTTTAAGTGTTTACGTAGTCGACTCACTGTTTGGCTAGTTAGGACAATATTTGGTGCAATATTGTTATTGTTAATGTGTATGTGTGTAATTCAAAGTAATTTCCTTGTATTAGTAAATCAAACAATACTGATGCCTCGGTCCCAGTGGACTTCACAGAGCATGTTTTGTGGACATTGTAATATTTAGTACTAAGTAATTAGATGGGTAAACCTGCTGTTACCTACATCTATCAGATGCTCATAATCACAGTAACTATTTGCTGAATCCATGTTCTTCCAATCACATTTGCTGTTTTTCCTCTTTACATTGTAATCCTGTCTCTGTCCATAAGTCATATTGTAATTAGGACAGTCAATCAATAAAAATGTGATCTGGCTATTTCAATGATATGCTGATTAACTAATCAAGTTAATCACAGTTGATTGTATGTATCAGTATTTGCTTAGAAATGCCCCCCACATGAAGACAGCTGAAGATCATAGGCTTATGTGATAATGGTTCCTCATGTTACCGCTGATTGTGCTGTTGGCAGGTGCCATCGGATGACTCAGTGGGCTTGTTGGCAGAGCCCCAGGTGGCCATGTTTTGTGGGAAACTCAACATGCATATCAACATCCAGAGTGGCAAGTGGGAGCCGGATCCAACTGGCACCAAGAGCTGCATCAGCACCAAAGACGGCATCCTTCAGTACTGCCAAGAGGTAATGAGAGAAAAAAGAGATATAATATGAGAATGAGTTTTGCTGCAGTGTCAGTGTTACTTGTCAATAGCTTACACAGATTGGAAAACATCATTGTATCATGACTACTTTAGTAATTAAAGTCAATTCTGTCATGACAACTCCCGGAGGGATTGGCATGGTAATGTATATGACAATGTTAATGTATTTGGTCTTGGCGGAATAGATCTGCTACGCTGCTGCTGCTGCAGCAGAGCAAGTACCGAGACTTGCTACTGCCAATACATCCACAACATGCTGCTGTGAGCATGTAAGAAATATAGCTGCTGCAAATATAACATACATGAAATAACCCCCATATAGCATACATGAATCACCTCGTAGCAGATGGAGCTGGGGAAGGTGGAGGGTTTCTGTAGCAAGCACTAATCATATATTTGAATGTTGAGCATCGAGCTCATTGGCTACCGATACAGGAGAGAACCAATCAGCTATGCCATGTGATAATGATGTCATTAGGTCAGATTAAGTTAGACCTATCGGACTGCGCCATCTAGAGTGTCATGCCAGAACTCTATATTTATATAATGGAAATCACAATAATTAATAGCCAAGGGCCTTCTGAGTATTACATAAGCATGTCAAGTTCTATTAAGTGGTTGAGTTTTGCAAAGGCTGATGATTTTATTTAGATAGCTGTGTGGCCGATAGCCAATATAATGCCAATAACATTCAATGGTTTGGAGACAGTAAGAATTTTTTTAAAGAAATTAATACTTTTTTCAGCAATGGTGCATTAACTTGATCAAAAGTGACTGTAAAGACATTTATAATGTTACAAAAGGTTTCTATGTAAAATAAATGCTGTTCTTTTGAACAGAAAATCCTGAAAAATATTTTCAGTTTTCACAAAAACATTAAGCAGTAAAAATGTTTTCAGTATTGATAATAATAATAAAAAATGTTTCTTGTGCACCAAATCAGCATATTAGAATGATTTCTGACATGAATAAATTACATTTTAAAAGAACTGAAAACCGTTCTTCCAGATTTTAATAATATTTCACAATGTTACTGTTTTAACTGTATTTTTGATCAAATAAATGCAGCCTTGGTGAACATAAGAGACTTCTTTCATAAACATTAAAAAAAAAATTATACCAACCCCAAACCTTTGAACGGTAATGTATGTTTTCAAATGAGAGTGCATAGTACATACAAATATCTGAAATTAAATGTTTATTTTACCAAATATATACTGACAATTTTGTCAAAAATATTTGAAATCTAAATGGACCGTGTTTACACATCCCTGGTCTTATTGTGCAAAGAGAAATTTCTGCAACTAAATATCAGCCGCCCATAAAGGGGTTTGAGGATTTGGTTGTGAGAGAAAACAGGCTGAAAAATGTGAAAATGTGAAAAGAAACAGTTCTTTTTTTGAGGAGTAATTGGAATTAATTATCGCCGACTGTGATGGGGGGAAGGTGATTTAAAATTAAGCCACAAATTTTCATTTCTGCACATCACAATTGTTTATATTTTCTACATTCTGATATGAATTCTGACTTCCCAATGGTTAAAATCAATAAATCTTTTTTTTCTCATCATATAGCCTATTTTACTTGGAAATAGGTCAGATTGTGAAAGTAAAATGGGTTGCCAATGGCTTTTCTGTTCAGCCACATCTGGTAATTGTACCCTGACTTGACTCCCACAGGTATACCCAGACCTCCAGATCACTAACGTAGTCGAGGCCAACCAGCCCGTCAGCATCCAGAACTGGTGCAAAATGGGTCGTCGCCAGTGCCGCAGTCACACGCGCATTGTGGTCCCCTACCGCTGCCTGGGTACGTACGTGTGTTTACAAGGCTATCCTTCAACGTGATGCTTACATCAGAGTGCTCCGCCACTCCTGGGGTATTAATCTGGATTTGTGGAACATTAAACTAATGCTTTTAACGTGGTTGTTGTGTGATTTCCTATCAGCCTTCTGTATCAGATAAGATGAGATTCATCAAAACACATTAAGGGTATCAACATTTGCTTGTTGATATTTTACCCTGCAATGAACATATCAGCAGAAATCTATCTGAGCACCTGGTGAGCAAATGTTTGTTTTTGTTTTTTATTAGTTGGGGAGTTTGTCAGCGATGCCCTCCTCGTCCCAGATAAGTGCAAGTTCCTGCACCAGGAGCGAATGGACATGTGCGAGAGTCATCTGCACTGGCACACAGTAGCCAAAGAGGTCAGAGGTCACACCACATGACATTTACACATTCACAAAGTTTTAAAGCCACGGGGAGCTGTAATTTGTACTTGAACAAGCCACATCTGGCACCTAGTTTAGTGTATCCCTATCTTACATGCTTCTGAACAGATGTTTATGCTATGACTTGAATTTATGTTTACTATGTTTAATATAATTTTTTTGTTCTGTTTTTGTTAACCAGAAACATCCAAATATATCAATTCTGTTTGCATGGTAAATAATGCTGTAGGCAGATTATGATTGAATAGAATGTATAATTCATCTCTATCTAACCCACGAGAGCGTTCTACTTATAGCTATGATGACTCAGCACCTTATACCTCTCTCGCTTTCGTTCTCCTTCGCTTGTTCCCTGTGGTTGCCCCTCTGCAGTCCTGCGGTGATCGTTCCATGAATCTCCATGACTACGGTATGCTGCTACCGTGTGGCATCGACCGTTTCCGTGGTGTCGAGTTTGTGTGCTGCCCTATGGAGGAGCAGAAGGAGTTAGACAGCGAGGAGCAGGAGGAGGCCAACTCAGATGTGTGGTGGGGCGGCGCAGAGGCCGAGTATACTGACGGCAGGTACACAAACACAAGTAGTTCTTCAAAGCTTTAAGAGTACTGACACTGTTTTCCAGGCAACTAGTGAAAATGTTTATTTTTATTAAACAACGTTTTTGTTACAATTTACAGTATATTAACAAGATATTTATAAATGATAAAACATAAAAAATAAAGAAAAGATTTAAAATAACAGTATTTTTGCATCTCCCCTTTGCTTTAATAACTGCAGCATTTGAGCTGCATGAACACCACAAGTTTGTGTAAAATCTGTTGATTAGATGAAAAGCATCTCATACAGCATATATTTCGGGGGGTCAAAATGTATGCTAAATATAGGTTGGAAACAGTGCTACATATTTTCAAATTGAAAATGTATTCAGTTTCAGCTTTCAAATACCAAAATGTTTTGCCAAATATACTTGAAGAGGCAAGAAAACACATTTCTATATCAATATATGAAAGTTGCCAAAAATGTATGAGGAAATACAAGTGATTTATTGTAAATATATTTTAAAATTAAAATATTAGCAATACATATTTTAATAATATAATAATATAGGTAACACTTAAGGATAGGAACAAATTCTCACTATTAATTAGTTGCTTATTAGCATGCATATTACTAGCATATTGGCTGTTTATTAGGACTTATAAAGCACATATTTTGCATGACCATATTCTACATCCTTAATCTTACCCAATACCTGAACATAACAACTACCGTAAGTCGTAGTTAATAATGAGAACTGGACCTTAAAATAATGTATGACCGTAATATAATATAATATAATATAATATATAAATAATATAAATATCTATTTTTGCCATATGTGATATTTGTGCTTTAATTGAAGAATATCTAACCAACTGAACAAAGAAGTTCTCATGACAAACTTGCTTGTTTGATCAATGACTAAGAAATATATATTTTCTATATTAATAAAATGTAATAAATATGTTCTATAAATAAATATTTCACATTCATATTTAACGTTTTTCATGTTTAACATTTTCCACACTTCTAGAAATCTGTTCATTTTCTGGTTTAAATTCTATTTTGAATCCCATATTTTCAGTGTAGTCTCAGAAATGTATATGTCATGATCTTCATACATTTTTGCATTACAGCGTACTGAGAGAACAGGCCCCGACCAAACCAGAGCCTGCAGTGACTGAGGATGATGAGGATATCGACAACGAGGAAGAGGATGTCTGGGACAACGATGAAGATGGTGACGGTGAAGATGATGAAGACGAGGAAGATGACGATGAAGACACTGATGAACAAGACACCAGTCAGCAGACCTCCAACGTTGCCATGACAACCACCACCACTACCACAACAGAGTCTATAGAGGAGGTTGTGCGAGGTGGGATTTCATATGTTGACATTATACATTTCAGTAGTACATTTCCAAACATTAAAAACACTAACATACCGTTATGACTACAACTATGAATACTAATGAGATCATGTGGCATTTCAAGACATGAAGTTTGAACCATCATTGTGTAGCTCCTTAGATAGGCAAAACTTGAGCAAAACGTTACAAATTAACACTTAAACAAATCCACTGAGTGTCTCTTCCCCATCAGCGGTATGCTGGGCCCCTCCTCGGTCGGGGCCGTGCCATGCCAAGCTATCCCGCTGGTATTTTGTGGTGCAGACGGGCCGATGCGCCCCCTTCATGTTTGGGGGCTGCGGGGGTAACCGCAATAACTTTGAATCAGAGGAGTACTGCGTGGCTGTCTGCAGCAGCAGTGTGTGTAAGTCCAGATGTCTCCTGAGAGGAAGTCCATCTCTCCGCTAATCAGCACATCGTCTCTTTCTCACTTTCTTCGCTTCATTCGTGCCAAACTCACAAGCTCAGCAGATGGCTGGATGCTTTAGCTCGCATGGATTACAGGTCTCTGTGAGGTGACTGTATAGGCAGAGCATCTTGTTCTTTTAGTTTAAACTCCTGCTGTCTTTTCTGAGCACTGGAACTTTTCTTTAACTCTTTAACTCTCCATCTGTGTCTACAGCACCATGGTAAAAGAAATAATATTATTGTGATATAAAAATCAGGATTTAAAATAAGTTAAAACACTGGGTATAGGGCTGAGTGGTGTGAGACTAGTTAGTTTTACAGTTTTGATACTGTTCTGAATTTGTTAGATAATGGGAAGCTGTTTGGGCACTGATGCTGGAATTAATATATGTGTATGTATGTGTAGCCTATATATATATATATACTGTATATATATATATATATATATATATATATATATACACAGTGTGTAACTGAATTGTACAAAAATAGGCAAAAGAGAATGGTTATTTGTAATAATATATAAATAAACTGTGAAACAAAGTTTTATAACAGTTTTGTTTCGCTTTTATTTTGAATGTTCCTTTTTGAAGTTTGACATACTGAAGACAAAAATCATGTTACATTTTTGTATCATTAGCAGTGCTCAAAACTAAAAAAATATTTTGATAACTTATACAAGCTAATCTGTTATTACTCGTGCATAAAAATTACATGGTATATGCATATTATTGAGCTAACAACAGTTTAACTTAAAGAGTTACCAAAAGTGAGTCGTTCAAAACTTCAGAAGTGTACGTTGGATGATTTTTATGACTAGTCCCACAATGTTCTGGAATGCTCCAGAAAGCACAAGAATATTCCAGAATGTTACAGAAACTTCTAGAATGTTCCCATCCTTGCAAAAACAAAATATCTTTAAAAAAAATATATATACTGTATATATATATATGTGTGTGTGTGTGTGTGTGTGTATATACACTTCTAGAATGTTCCCATCCTTATATATATATATTTTTTTACTAGATGGAAATGCTCTCCATACCGTAGTTACAGTGTATTTTGAGTGTCAGCCTCCAGAGGTTTCAAATTTGATACCGTGAATGTTTGTTTGTGTTTTTTTTTTTTTTTTTCAGCCCTCATCCTGACAGGGCATATTCCTCGCAGCCGGTCTGGCTGTTCCCGCATGCTCGCTGTCAGAAAGTGTCACAGCAGCTTCACAGGAGCTGCTACAGAATACACACACAAGCTACACACACGTACAGCGGCAAAAAAAGCTTTTGGACACTTATGCCACACTTACATATGTCACTGCATTACAAAATATCAAACCACCTTGCATTTATTTTAAAGAAAGAAATTCACAGGCCCACTTTTCAAACAAAACCGTTTACAAAAAGACATCTGTTATGTTTAAAATAGTAAAACAGTAGATACGCTGTTTAAAATTAAGACATTTTACTCTTAGTGGAGCGTGTCTGCATGTCTTTATGAAATTAAAACTGAAAACTGCTTACTTTTTGAATACTTTTAAATTCCTGGTCTTATTGTTCATTATTAATTGATGCACATTATTATAAATTAAGTTTTGCAACAAAGTCTAGTGTAATTTGTTTGCATATGCCACGTATTTAATGTTTTCTACTAAATGCAGTGACATTCATATATTATTAAGTGTCTTAAGTGTCAAAACACTTTTTGGGGTCACTGTATATACTGCACACAGATGTACCATACTCAATGATTTTCCAGCAGCTTTTAACTCTCTGAGTGCACCTTTGGCAAAAGCAATCTCGCATAAATGTTTCTGTCTCTGCTAACCAGTTTTAACCTGCACCTGAACTAGCTGTTCTTTCTGAGGAGTCTGTGCTCTCTTTGCCGTAAGGAAGATTCTCTGGCTCACATTTATCTGTTTTTTTACTTTTTTGAGAACAAGACTTCTCACTTTCTCTAGTGCCAACCATGGCCCCGAGCCCTGCTGATGCTGTGGATCATTACCTGGAAGCTCCAGGAGATATGAATGAGCACACCCGCTTCCAGAAGACAAAGGAGAGCCTGGAGGCCAAACACAGAGAGGAAATGTCAGAGGTGGGAACCTGAGTAGAGTGATACATTGCAGTTATATTGGAGGTACAGCAGTGGGGTGAAGTTCTCTTACAAAAACAGTGTGGTGGTAGTAGGGCTGGGCAATAGCACTGAAAAACATTTGATCATTACATACATATATATATATATATATATATATATATATATATATATATATAGTATATACACATTTTACATACACAC